GATAGGCCCAGTCCTTTTTAAATATTATGAAACTCTGATCGCAACAGTTTTTTAGTTAATTTGTTTTTTTTTTAATAAAATTGAAGATGTAGATTTGGGAGTTATGTGATTTCAACAAGACGATGCTTTTCTTTTATTATAAGTAAGCCTTAATGCTCCTCAACTCCATGATACATTAGATCTTATTGAGCAGTGCTTAATAACCAGCGGGTACGCTACAAACAGTTATATATATTTTTCATCGTTCAAGTAGTGATCTCGCCCAGGGCATTAATAATACCAAGACCAGATCATATTGATCCTTATTATAATTAACCAATACATAGAACCAAGTCTTTAAGATATTCTATATTGTTATATTTACAATATTAGGAACCGCATATATTTCATTGATTTCATTTTTAGTAAAGCTTGCACTCTAGAAATATTTATCATCTATTTATTGATTTGAGTACAGCTGTGTTGAACACCTGGTTTTTTTCATTTCCATGCTCTTTAGCAACCGTTAACGATGCTAAGCCTACAAAAATGATACTAAAATCATTTCAATTGATTTTAATTAATTTTATTGCAGTTACATTTATAATTTATCATAACGAAAATGCATTTACAAAAATAATTGATTTTAAGATTAATTACTTTTAAAAAATTTTATCCAATACAACAAATGAGAAATATTTGAAAATTAAATTTTTAATTTATCAAAACTTGAAATATATTTTTGTTAAAAAATTTTTATGTTACCATCCCAAATCGTCGAATTCATAAATTCTAAATTCCATGTTGAATAAGACAAATTGATTTTTGCCTGATCAAAATAGTGGTCATGTGACCATGAATTTTTCTAAACATGTCTGCGGCCTGCCTCCTAAGTTCTCACATCTCCAATGGGTGCCTCATTTTGATAGTTTTTAAATCAAAATTTTGAACTACATTTGAAAAATATTATTTAAACGTTTCATTTACATTTTATATACTACAACTTGTGAACTGATCCTCTCCCCCTGCTTCTTTCTCATTTTTTAATCTCTGACTAATGATATTTTGATATTTACAGTGCTCTGCAATTTTCACATTAGTTTTTGCTTAATTTCGTTCAAAGATACTTTGCTGCAAATGATGTGTCCTTCCTTAGTTCTATTTTATTTTATTTAACATTATTTTATTTTATTGATTTAAAATCCACCTCTTACGAGTATTGATGTTTAACTTTCAGAATATTAGCGCATCTCTTCGATGATCGAAATTATTTTTGTACCTTAGCGTTGCTTGCATTTGTGCCCTGGAAGTTTATTTTCTATTCATTTTGATTTAAATTTTATGATGCATTCTATTAAATTGCAATTTAAATCGCTTACACGTTAATTTATTTAGTACTTTGACTATATACTAGATACTTTCAAATCGAATTTTTTCTTTATATTCAAAATTACAATTCTAATTTGATTGATTCGCGCCAATTGCTTACAGTGGTGGCCAAAAATAAATACTCAGTATACAAGTCTATTTCCATTGTCATATAATATAATCATGCAGTTTTTAAATTGTTAATTTTTTAAACATTATTTGTATGGTATATTATATATATAAATTTATAAATAATTATAAAAAATTTTAAAATTCATTGCAATTATTCGACACAATTCCCGAGGGGCGGCAAAGATTTTAATATTTTTCACATTATTATTTTTTTATATATTTTTTTTATTTATTTATAAATTCTTTTCATTTCTAATTTTATATATATATTTAATATAAATATTGAAATTAAGAATGTAAACACGTGTTATACAATTCTAATTTCCACTCAACACTTCGGAATTTTTAACTAATTTTTATTTTAATATTCCTTCCTAATATTTTTGGCAGTTTCAAATTTTATTTTTATAATTTGGCAGAAGTCAATTTTTTGACTTTTCTGTCTAAATTAATTTAGAAAACAGATTTACAAATTTACAGATTTATTCAATTTATATTACCAATTATAGTTAAAATATGAAAAATAATATAATATTTATGATCAAAAGTTTATAAATATCAATCAAAAATACATGGTTGTGTTTTTAAAAATAGATCTATATTAAAGATTGTTTATGCTATATTAATAATTTATGTATAATATTTATGAACAATATTGTTTATATTGTCGTAATGAAATACTTTGGTTTCTCAGATTTTCCGTTAGAGAATTATTTAACATAATAATTTATTACAGTACATTCATGAATGTAGCCAATTATAATTAAGTAGCAAAATATTTTATAACTATTTTATATTCATTTTACTACTTGGAAATATTTCAGTAGTAATAACAGTAAAAGAAATCTAAAAACAAACCCATTTTAAAATAACATATAAACCAAATTGAGACTGGATCCACTAATTCTATTACTAATTCTTGAGTTTGGGATTTAACTGTTTTTACATATAGAACCAATTCCCGGTCATTACAAAGCAACAAATATTTCAGGCTTCAGCACTAGACACTTCCGTAGGAAAGTTAAAGATAAATTGCGTAGGAAATTCTTTGTGCTTCTGGATAGAGCTGAGTAGCCACGAAAATGTTTCACTGTTTTTATTTCCTGCTTATTCCCACAATTTATACAATATCCATGACAAGCAACTCCTACCATAAAACCCTGTCTATCAATTAGCCAGTGTTCGTTTATTTAAGTACTGTTAATGATCTTGCTTCTACTTTTTTTAATCGCAATGAATAAGCTTTTGTCAATAATATTATGTATTCCAAGAAACGCTTATTGTATTAGTATATACAGCTCAAATTGTTAGTATCACTGTCCTTCTACGATCTTGACTAATAGACCCGCCCAGACCGGTACTCCCTATCTGCGGTTAATATTAGGAAATCATTAAAAATAAACATTCCGCTCTTCAAGATGTTTTTATTAACGTCTTCTTTTTCAGGAAAAGCTCATCAAATTCGTATACATTAGTCAAATTGTAAGTATCACTATCCAGGTACGATCTGAGCTAAAACCGGTAGTTCCAAAGTGGCAGTTAGAATTAGAATCAGCTTAGTTAGAATCAGTTTTTAGCACAAAAAATCTGTGTTGCTCACAGCACTCCGATTCATTAGAGGCACTTCCCTGATTTTAACCTAAACATCTCTTATAATAAGTAAACCCCGCTAAAGTAAGAACATTTGTCATTATTTGACTACTTTTAATGCCATTAATCTGAACAATTAATTTTCGCATGATTTTCGCTGTCTCTATTATTTTTTTTTTTTACAAACGTTTCATTTTCAGAGAGCAGCGAATTTGAGATTTCAAAATAAATCTGCAAAATAAATTGTTTTAATCCAAGAAGCCTATAAATTTTATTTTATTCGTAAAAAAGTAAATCTTTTAAACTCAGAAAGTGATTAATAGTAGATTAACCCCTGAAAATTTTAATAAAATAAATTGTAAAAGTTTATCTTAATTTAATAAAAAATATTAATTAATATGTATATTCTAGAAATGTTTTTTTATGGAGTATATGTTTAGAGTTAATAGAACTATCTAAATATAAAAATGTTTGCCTATTTTTATTTTTAATAATTAAAAATAAAATTAAAAATATAAAAAGAATTCTGGCTAAATTTAAACTGCAAAGATTTTGAAGAATTTAACGCTGTTAAAAATATTTTTTTTTAAGTAATAAATTAAATTGTACATTTATTTAAAAAAATGCGAATGACATGGTTTTTCGTTTTAATATTTTAATTTGAAAAAAAAATATTAATACAATATTGTTCAAACCCTATAATAAGGAGATGTCTTCTCTTTAGTCATCAACACATTGATAGACAAATAAAAAAGATGTATTTTTAATAAAATTCCGGTATTTACAAATACATGGACAGAGTTTAAAATTTATTTTCATTACTATTGTTTTATATATAATGGAAAAAATTTAAAAAATTCCAACATAAATAATAAATTTCAAAAAAATATGTATATGTATTACTAATAAAATATAGGACTAGACCAATGCTGTTTATTAAAAGAACCATTTTCCAATTTATATAATTTAATATAATTTTGAAAAAAAAAATTTATTTTATTATTGAAATGAAAATTTCACCAAATGACTGCATAAATTAGCCACCAATACGAATAAAATATTTTCAATTTTATAACTCAATGATCTTTGGTGTCTTTGATTTCGAATGCATGTCTCTGGGACTGAGGCTGTATCTGTAAAATATCTTTGCGTTTGTGAGTCAATTTATTTTTTTCATCTTCCGTTAAAAAAGCAACTGTTCGATGGTGGAACGAATATTGCTGGCCTCAATTCGAATTTGGAATTGAAGAATCTCACTTGAAATCGGGACGTGGAAATGTAAAGACTAACAAAATTCGTGCAAAAATAACACGCATTTTTTTAATTAGAACATTTTTTAAAAATAAAAAAAAGGACTGTTGTGCCAGGATATTACATTTAATATTAAGTGTCTAAGTGTTTGAAGTCCAAAAAAGTGTTAATATTTATTAAATATATAATAAAAAAATTAAAAAATAATTAACAGAATATATCTCCTCATATATGTTCCTTTTACTTTAAGCGGTTTTTTTAAAGAAAAGTGTGAGTTATCCTTTTGTGTATAAATTTTTTGTGAAAACCTTTCTTAGAATTTCACATGCTAGTGAAATAGAAAATTGTCATTAATTATACTTAAATAATTTAAATTCAAACAAATAAAATAGATTTCTATATATCTATATATATATATATATATATATACAAATATATATACAAAAATTTTAATTACTTTATAAAATAGAATTTCTTAATCCTTAACTATGTATCCTTACAAAATTCTGTACTGCTTACTTTTCTTTTCTTTAAAAAATAAAAATGTTTAAAATTTTAAGTGTCTTTATTTCAAATTTTTAACAAAAACTCAAAAAATTACTATATTTAAAAAACTATCGGAATATATATACATATATAATAAACAAATATATTAATAATAATAAAAACAAAATACAATTACAAATACACTAACAATGCACTTCAGTTGGTTAACTACAAAAGCTGAAGCTCCTGAAGCAACCTGGGAAGATTATACATATTTTTATCTTCCCAATTACTACAAAGTAACTGTGTCCGAACGTGATCACGTCGAAAGGCCACAGATATATTTTAACGAGACTATTATACCGGAGAATGAAGGAATAAATGATACAGATTTCTTACCATTAAATTTTCAGTCGTCATTTTATATTGTTACACATCAAGGTAATTACCTACTCTTTTAAGCATTTGCCTAATAAGACTTTGAAAACTTGTTCATCCTTTGCAATTCTAATACAGTTTTTATAATTTTTAATACTTGTAAATATATCATTAATATAAATTAAAATAACTTTTTTAAATTTTCTAAATAAAATTTTACGTACTAGCAAAAAAATCGACTTTTAAATAATAAAGGGTGTTAATAAGAAAATTATTATATCAAAAAATGTATCTTTTAATCACCGCACAGTTGACCTGACCACGCAGTTGTTTTAGATAACGCGGAATCATATATATAAATCAAATATAAACTTGATTTTGACGTCAATTATGACTATTTTACTTAATAGAGATTTAATAGAGAGGTTTCGAACAATAAAGATTTTATTGTTGCAATTCACTACTGTTATTTATTTTATATCCCAGATGAAACAATAAAAATACGATGGAAAGTCATCTAAGTCGCAATGAGCATCAGGGCCCCACACGTTAACTGAGATCCTGCTGTTAAATCTATTCAATAATTCGTAAAGTATACAGCACATGAGTAATAAATATTTTTGCTATATAATTAAATTTTGACCATACATCCATTGTTAAAAGATATAAATTTTATATGAGCTACTGAAAACTTAACTACTAACTAATGTAGTATAAATTACTGCATAACAAACAGTGGGGGGTTTTTTTTATTCATATATCTTTATAATTCAAAATATATCATAACAAAGGCTTAAGAATTCATATACGTTAATACCTTAAAGTATTTCAATTTCATTATTTTTCATTATTATTTTTTCTGCAACAATTTTTATTTTATAAGGTTTGTTGAAATCTTTTATTTTTTTGCTTAGATTCAACATTTATATAGAATTAAAATATAAATAATTAAAAATCATCATGTACTATTAGAATTTGTATTTAATAGAAAAACTATCAATCCAATATATATTAAAATCCCCTACAATTTTAAATGAAATCTACAAATCTTACTACACAAGGGTTTTTACTCATATTCTGGTACTTATATCTCAAAATATATTCTAAATTTTTACTATTTTATTAAAAAAAAAATTTTTTTTATTGTCTGTTTCAATTATGCTAATATTTTATGTCTTTAATTGTGTTTATTTTTTTCAATATCTTTGTTTTTTTTTTCCATATATTTGGTTTTTTGTTTTTGCATTATATTTGGTTTTTATTTTTTCTTCCATATATTTGGTTTTTAATTTAATTTTTTTTTAAAATATTTTTTTTTAATTTATTTCATTTTTCCGAATTATAAATATATTAAATATCTTCGCATTCGGTTTCTGTTCTCATATATATCTTTTATACATATTTCATACTCAATTGAGAATCTTAATCAACTAAGGCGTTAACAATGTATATAACAAATATAAACTATAACAATTTGTTACACTTCACCTATCCATGCCAGAAAAACGCTAAATCTCTAGAAAAATGTTTAAATCTTTTGAAAAATATTCTTTCATTTTTTTCACATAATTTTTTATTTTTCCCTCGATTATAAATCAGTGGCGTGTGCCAGATGTCAGACAAAATGCTTACTTCGAATTGTTAGAATAAACAAAGTATTCAGGAAATTGGCCATTACCGCATAGTTTATTGCAGATATAAACTGAAATTATTTTACAAATAATATCTATTCGTAGGACTGCTGGTAAATGTAAGATTTATGAATTTTTGCAAATTTCCTGAAGAAGAAAAATTAATGGAATTGGATTTTATTATCAATTAAAAATGATCCATTGAGAAATATGCTTTCATATAATTTTTACAGATTTTATGCTACAAAATAATTTCAAGTATATTTAGGTACATAGACAGATTTGGAAGAATATGTAGCGGCATATTACGTATTTCTAGCTTGAGACAATTAAATAGAACTTATTTAGTAGATACAAAATTATAACTACGATCATGTATCAAAAAACTAAGCTTCAGAGAATAGAAAAAATGTTAAAAAGCTATAACTATTTTTTATTTATATTTTTTTTTATGTTTGTCATACTTAGTAATAACTTAAGTTCATTGATATATATATTTTAAATAATTTAATTTTTATTGTATGAGAATGAATATATTAAACGGGAATATCAAATTGGTAGTTTAAGCATACATAAGGTGGCCTAATTTGTATTTCTTTAAAACGGTACAATTACATATCTTTGCCATCTAACGAACTACAAAGTCAAGTACATCAACTAAGGCGGAACCTGTTCAGCACTACGGTATCGGTGCATAATAGGGAGACATGCTATAAGACTAGGTCTTTCCTATAATGACCTTTGTCGTGGTTGTGGAGAAAACTGTGTTTCATCTCATGTGTCAGTGCCCATCTTTAGCTAGAAAAATATCAAAAATCTCGGAGGCCCCTTTTCTTATCGATCTGTCTGAGCTGTCATCCTGCAATATTAGGAACCTAGTCAGATTCATAGAATTGTCAGGTTAGCTTACCTTTACCTTATGGGAGAGTCTTTGCTTTTCTTGGCGTTGGTCGTATACTGACCTTATTGTCTATGTACTAACCAACGTTGTTCCTGTGGTACCACAATGGGCCTTTTTTGTGCTCAAGTAGGCTTTCTTGGTATAGAAGCCAATTATTATTTATCTAATTTTAATAGTTAGAATAATAGTAGTATTTATTACCTTTTATTTTTATCTTACTTTTTAAAAAATATATATTATTCTCATATTTTTTGTGCTTATTTTTTCTTACAATAGTAATATGTTGTTAAAACTGCTGTTACTTAAAATACAATTTGAACACATTTTATTATGCTTATTTTATAAAGATATATTTCACTTTATTTTTTCTATTGATTTAATAATATACATTTTAAATGTGTACTAATATAATATTTTTTGTTTTATAAACCATTAAAACAACCACGAATTTTAATTAATTTTTAAATGTCCGTGCTTAATTATCACATAAAAATATTTTTACAGCTGGTTATATTAAAATTTTTAAAATAATATTTTATTTTTAAAACTATCTAATTATATTTTTCATAGTCTGTTGGAATATTTTTATTAAATGGGATATCCGATCCATTTATAAGTTTCCGGCATAATATTATCTTAATCAAAATCCAACTTCTCTTGATATATGAGTAATGATTTTGAATCAATTTCTCATATACTTATTCCGGTAATAAAGGAATCAAAATATACACTTCCGATAATTTTTTTATAGAATAAAAAAAATTTTCTGTCAACTTTAATAATTTATTTTTGAAGATTCTACTGATACGGAAAACGCAATACAAGTATATAGAACAATATTTAAGTAGCTTAGATTTTCTTATATTTTGTCGGATGTAGCCATAAAATTTTAATCACTTAAGCTTAATAATTTTTTTTATTGTTTATTTAATAAATAAATAATTCTTACATCTAAATCATTTCATTTACTGAACAAAGTAGATAAGCACATATAAAGCTGCTACCCTATAGAAACCGAGGATTCAAAAAAATTTGATGCGATAAATTGTTTTTTATTTTAATTAATTTTATAATTAAAATTTTTGTGTCCTTTGACAAGAAATATAATTCTATTTAAAAAGTGGGAAAATTGTGAATACAAGAATAAATTTTGAATAAAGCGAAATATATTGGCTAACCGCACAGTTATCCATTATCTAAAGTTTTTGGAAATATTCATGCAATCAATGGTTAGTTATTTAATTAATTATTTTTCTACAAATGTGAAAAATTAAATTGTGAAGGGCCTATATTTTTTTTTTTAATATAAAAGGGTACCTCCTAAAAAATTTTCAGTCCTGAACTGATCTACAAGCTTACATTACCATTGAATAATCCTTAATTTTTAATAATAATTACGTTCTACCTACAGTTCTACATTATATCCAATAGTTAACTATAATATAATAATATCTTTGTTAATAGTCTTCAATATGAGTTTCAGTTATGCGATGTTATTATTCATATATAACTTTTTTCAGTTTTTTACGATGTGATTAACAATATCACTGAATATGTGTTGTCTTAAAAGGACAACAATTTATCTAATAACCTAAGTAAATTGTTTTTCATTTAATAAATGACCGAAATATATGCGGATGAGAGTACTAGGATTTAAAACTAGGATTCAAAACTGCAGTCTGTAAACTTCAATTAATACACACATAAAATGAAATTCGTGCCTATAGTGAAAACTAAAAAATTAAAACAATTACCTCACATATTTAATAAATAAAATAATGAAACTAAATAAATATTTTTAATGGTATTGTATTTTAACACCAAATTATAGATGTGCTGAACATGTTTATTCAAAAATAATTACTACGTTCTACACCAACTTATCTATATACACAGTACTGCAAACGATTATTATAAGTTTATATTTAAGATTGTATTCTTTATCAACTTATGGGTAAATAAGTCAATAATTGAATATATGAGAGATTGAGACTACTAAGCAGCCTCCGAAGATGACATAGCAAATATAAAGCATGATGATGAATGTTTAAAACAGTCTATCAATAATTAAGCGAATAGTATTTCTTTTCATCCAAATCGTCTCGCTGGTCTTCGTATTTAAGAACTGGAATTGGAACTTTAATATTAGTTGGCTTGCGCTCGACTATAGCTTCAAATCCAGTCTTTTTATCGGATTTGTATTTCACGATACGCTGTTTTCCATCGGAATCGATCAATTCATAATAGCCTTCAACTTTGTCATCCTTGCGAGTCTCCTTTTGGCTTTTTATGTCCTTTGTTTTGGGATCCTTTACACTGTAACTGAATTCATATTTAACGGGACCCTTTTCGTCATCATCTTTTTGTCCATAATATTGTGAATTGACCACTACTGCAAGGCAGATTAAAAGGGCTGCAATCTAAAATGAAATAAATTAAATAAGAAAAATTAAGTTATATATTTTTATTAAAATATAGTGATGTAGTTTCTGCATAATAACACAGTTAATAATGCGACCTGTGATATTAGAAATAGTATATTAATACTTTCTGTGAATTTCATTATCCAAATAGAAAAATCTTTAGCTTAGTACTTTTTTAACCTTTAGGATAATTAGTTATATAATACAAAAGTAAATTAAATTTTTTTTTATACCTTCAACGACATTTTTAATTAGTTTTATATTAATAGCAAGGAACACTTGTGTTACTGATATCTCAGCTTGCTGACTTCGAATGCTTAAACCTAATGGTTCTGCATTAGTTTATATAGGAAAATGGTTGAGTTCAGCAGCTGATAAAATATGCGTCAACTCAAGTCGGTATGCCCACCTAATTTCATATAAAACGTGCTTTGAGATTTGGTGGCAATGTACATAACTAAATCTAGTTTTATTTCGGAGCCGTTCTATGTTTCCCTAATGCCGCTTGAGTTAATAGGCAAACGCCCGTGAGTCTAACTTGATGTGTGAATTAAAGAAACTGAATTCATGTGTATGTGCATCGGCGTTTTCATGACCTCAAATTTAATAAAGTTTAGAATAAGTGTACCAAAATTAAAAATATTTGGCAAAAATATCTGGTTTTTGCATCAGCAAATTGCGTTTGGCGCTAAGATTCAGTTTTCTTATAGATCACTTTTTTTTGTGCACTTTTGCGATATTTGATAAGAGACTTTTAAGCTTAAAGTAGAGTTCATTTTATTTAATTACTTTAAAATTTGTAAAAAATGTTATATACAAAAATTTTGATCATTCCATAATTTATTAAAATTTTTTAATTTTTTTTACCATTATTCTAATTAATTTTTTTTAAATTAGATTATATGTGTTTTTTTTCATATATTTTAAATGATTTAAAATTAAAATTAGTGATATTATTGTCTACTTCAATACACTATACCTATAATTAAAAAGGTAATTCTTAATTTTAACATTTCCGACAATTTACCAAAAAAAGTAAAAGTAAATTTTTGGTTCTCTCTTCATATGCTGGTCACTTACAAACCTTTCAGCAGATTTATACTACTTCATTTCATCTGAAATTTATAACTACTTTTCAAGATATATACGTTCAGATGACCAATTTTGATTTCTGTGATTAACTCAGTACTATACAAAATGAAACAATTGCATTAGAAAGAATTGCACCTGCATTCTTCTTTTTTGAATTTTAAAATAATTTTTTGAATTTGAATATAATTTTCAAATGTTGCATTTGTCTATAATTGGTCAATAAATAGTATATATATAACAAGCAATATGCAACTATCAATCTGTCATTTTGAGCCGTAAATATATTAAAGTTTTATAGGTCACCAATCAAAATAAATATATAATTGTATGTATACCTAATTAACAAACTCACGAAAAGATATTGCTAAATCATTTATATTTACTCTATCGCACCAAAGTTTACTGCTCAAATACAACTTAACTCAATATATTGTACGCATTACGTTGTTCTGGTATTTTATTTGCTCTGTGAACCACTCACTGAATTCTCATATTTTCCAAATGGTTTTTCATTTCAAATTTTCTTGCTGAAAAGTTTTTATATTTTTTAAACAAAGTATATATTTTATATTTATTAATTATTTTATTAATTATGTTGATAGTCAAATTTTACAAATTTGTAAATGTTTATTAGTTTGTTCGCTATGTTACATTTTATTCTGTTTTTCTTAATTGTGAACTATTTCTCATATATTACGCATCTCAAGAAGTATTTTTTTTATGCAAGAATTGAATTTTCTCCTATTTATTATTAACTTAAAATAAAATAAACACTTTTTTTTAAATTTTTACACCATCACATCACATCAGCTTCACCTATCAATCAATCATAACCTATTAACACTCCCTTTAATTAATTAATATATTTTAATTTTATGAAATTGATCTAAAAGTTTCTGCTTACATTTACAATAGAAAACTTTAGTTTTGTTTTAATAATAATTTAAAACATAAATTGATTATATATTGAATAATTTTATGCAAGTGTATTTTATTATATGTATCTAAATTTAATAAAGTTTAATAACATTAATTTTTCTTTAAATTTACTTTTTTTTATTTAATTTACTTTAAATTAACATAAATTATTTTATAAAATATTTTTTAAATCTATAAAAGTTAATTTTATTTTACTTAGTTTTATTTATTTTCTTTCAATTAAGTCAATTGATTTATCTTTAATTTACTTATTTTTGAAATATACCTAATTTTTACTTTATTTTATATAAATTTGTTTAGTATTTTTTTTTTTTTGGATTTATTTTATACTCTCTTTATATTTATTTAAATTGTTCTATATTAAATTATATTTCATTTTACTAACAATTTTATTTGTGTTTTCTACAATTTATTTAACTCATTTAGTTATAATGTGATTATTTATTAAATATATTTAATTTTCATTAAATCTATCTTAATTTAATTTTTAAATTTGTTTGAAATTTATAAAATGCTGGGTTCATCCTTTTTGATTTTAAATAAATTTTTTAAATTGTTTTATAATTAAGTTAATTGATATTTCAAATTTATTTTGTTTAATTTATCCCTTCAAAAAAATTTTTTTATTAAAATTTATTTAACTTTATTTAATATTTTTTTAGTTTTGAGAAAAATGAAAATATTTTTTTGAAATGCTATATAAAAATTTTTATATTTTTATAAAATCATTTTTAAAAGAACACTATTATTAACTTTTTTAGCTTATATTAACCGATTTTAACTATTTTAATTTTGTTTACCAAAAACAACTAAATTTTATTTAAATTTAATCATTTTTTAATTGAGCTTTAAATAATTTTTATTAAATTTATCTTTAATTTAACTTAGTACCGAATATAGAAATTTAGAAACATTTTATTAATAAGAGATAAAATTATTTTTTAATAATATTTCGCAATTTCAATATGTAGTATATTTGCAAGCAATAATATAAATTATTGCATTAATCAAATATGCCAAGTGGCAAATGCCACTTGAAAAGGAGCATTGCAGATCCCTATGCCAAAATATCTACTTTACATAAAATATATAAAAACATTACATCAAAAACAAAACTGTAGAGCGTAAAAATTTTAAGCAAATCATTTTTCAAAATTATATTTTTCAAAAAAAAAAAAAAAGAATATCAAAATGACACATTTTTGTATCGCCCCTTATCCACCTGCTGCCTTACCCACCTTCGAGAGAGCTCTATTCGTAGAGATTTTAATGAAAGATTTTAATGACTAAACGCATACAAGAATTATTTTGTCGACTTTTCTAATATTTAATTTTTTAGCAAATTTTATGCTCCACTGCAGAAAGAAATAAAATCTGAAGAATCATAAAAAGTAAATCATAAATTATGAAAATTAGATTTTCGAATGGCAAACTGGCGAACGGATACATCGGCGGCAACAACAAAAAACAATATAGTTTCTAATTTATCTATTATAATTTTGAAAAAATTATTACACATCATAGAGCTTGACCCAATCTCTACGGTTTCTGCAATTGTATAGCAGAACGGAGAAGAAAGTATCAGCTGCCGCCCTCAGAATGTTTTACCTTATTGCATTGCCGCCATATATTAAATGGGCCTTTCACCACCGCTAAGCGATGCAATTTTTTTCACTGCAACAACTTCCTTTTTAACTTTTTTTATTATTTATTTTTTTTAATATATTTTTTTAAAATAAATTCTTTATTAATACAAAAATTAATTTTATGCCCGCTGCATGTGATCAGACCACTGAGTTGCTCTAGCACTTAATATATTCCCGAAATCATTTAATTGGCAAGATTTCAAAATATTTGCTTGCCGTGCACATTTTTCAGTTTAATTTTTTTAAATTTTTATAAAAACTTTGTATATGAAATTTTAAAAATGCAATTCATATATGTGTTAATTGTAATTAATTTTGATTTTGATTTACATGTATGCATTTTATTTTATTTTATTTTATTTTATTATTTAAAACAAAAATATATAAAATTTGGGGTCTAAGTCTTGTCAAAAGCGGTTAAATGCAAATATTACTTTACTTTACTTAAATAATTTTATATTAAAAATTTATATATTTTTTATGACTTTTTTCAAACCTTCGATGAGGTATAAGGTATAAGCATAAAGCTTAGAATACCAACCTTATTAGTTGAAAATCTTACTCATTATTGTTATGCCGTTTTTGATTGTTAAGTCTGGGGGTAACTTTTTCAATCGAAATTCGCTTTTAATTTTCATGTTCGATTGGTAAATTTAAAACACTCTAAATGTTTCGCCAGAGTGACAAAACAGGGTTTAGAGAGCAAATAACATACAGTTACAAAAATTATTATTTAACTCAAAGTCTCCATAAATCGAACCTTTTCTTTGTAAAATGATATTGCAAGTTATGGAAGTTTGACTTATTGTCAAAGTAAATCTAGATTGAATTTAGATTTACCAATTGAAAACACCATTCGATAGTTCTTGTGCTAATCAATGCTGTATAAGTTTCCGTCAAATAACTGCATATAACCCATTAATAGACACATTGAAGTTTGACATAAAATATAATAAGGGCACTGCAGTGAAAATGAAACAAAGCACTGCGACCAGTGTTACCCCTATTTATTTCGCCGCCGACGGGTCACAAAAGTATATAAAGCTAAAAATGTTAAACAAGTATATAAACATTTTAAGGTATTTTAATAGTATACAGACTAGAGAGAATTTTTACAGGTTTATTTGCAGAAAGGAAGGTTAACTGAATTATGTTTTTGCATTACCAGAGTTGAACACCGTAGTACTATAGTGGTTTGACGCGTCATTATAAATGATTAACAAAATTTATTTTATTAAAATAGCGATGATTTCAATTTCAGAAGTCAATACATATTTTGATTCTTCAGACCTGGTTGTCTTCTTTTCCATTTTAGTATTTTCCTTCCAACTTAACGCCAACCCGAGATATTTTGTTTGTATGAAAATGAAAATACGGTCAAACTTCTACAACTCGAACTACTTTCACTCCATTACAAAAAAATTTGAACCTTTTCTTTGTAAAATGGTATTTCGAGTTATGAAATTTTTGACTGTATATCAAATATGATTAACAGGAGTATAGAGTCAACACCGAAATTTGCGTCCGTGTTATAAATCATAATGAAATAGAAATAGCATTAGATCGCTTTTTTGTAGAAGACTGGCTTGTAGTTCTCATAGAGTATGCGTCTTATTGTCTTAATACCGAACTTCAAATAAAACTGTGTAAAATGCGATAACAAGTTTTTTTAAATATGGTTTTACTAAAAAACGTAGAGTTTTGCAGAGAATGGAAATAAAAATATAATAAAAGATGTTGAAGATTAACTACCTTCAAAACAAAGTTAAATCAGCAAACTGCTAAAAAAAATAAAATTCAAACAATATTATTTTGAACTTCAGATACTAAGTTGAATTATATATAAACTGTGTTCTCTCCTCTCATTATTTAATTCTGCATATGTTACCACATTTGCATGTTGTATATCTTTTTTACTATATGTATTTCCAAAATCGTGTTCAAAAGTTATGTATTAAACCTCACATAAAACTTTTGAAAAATACAGACTTTCGAAACTTTACTTTATTTCTTCCGGAACTTCAAATTCTATATAAATTCAATGAGTTAGTAATAATTGTCGTGTTGTTCTCATGAGGACATATGAATACACCCAGACGTCTTTTTCGAATTTTAAAACTATTTCTCAGCTAAAAGCAAACTGAAAACTAAAAATCTATTATTAATGAAGTGAGGTCTATTTGACAAGACTTTTCCCAACCATTATCATTAGTTGAGAGAAGCACTAATGCTTTTGCAACTGCTAATGTCACTCTTCCTAATTCCGTATAGATTATAATAATTATGAAGATCCATTATTATTTAAAAAAAATACTGTTTTTTAAATTTCGTTCTATAATTTTAAAAACATATTTTAAAAACAAAACATTTCTTAGTAAAACATGCCTGATTCTAAATTATTTGCAATAAAATGGAAATTTTATGACTTTTCCCAAAGTAAAGATACAATAATTTATAAAAATAAAATTAATTATGAAATATTTAACAGAATTTTCAAAGCATATTTTCACTGGTGGCATATATTTTATTTAAATAAAAAAACTTAATTTATTTATGTTCCAAAATTGTTTTCTTCACAACAAACAAAAACAAATGTGACTCACATGATTAAATGTTCCCAAAAGTTAATGAAATAAAAACAAAAACAAAAATAAAAAATTTTATTTATAGTCGCTTTCTATATTATTTTTAAAATATTTAAAATTTTTTTTTTCTCAAATAAACTAAGTTTTGGAACAAACAATTTTATTTATTATTTGCCATTAGAACTTTAAAATTCATATAGGTAATCAGATCCAAAGAGTAGACGAGCACAATAAGTTCATTTCTCTATAGCCATCAACAGATACGTGTACGTTCACACTTCAAGTTAATTTACTAGTTTTATTTAAAATTAAAAATAAAAACAATTTATTTATTTATTTAAAATTTATAATTCGAAATATTAAATTAAATATTAAATAAAAATAGGCAATCGATTTAACACATAATATTTTCTTTTGTGTTACAGCTGAAGTCAGAATGCCAAGTGGTAAGGTTGATAAGCCTGTAATTCAGGATAACCGTGATGGTACGGTTTCTATAAAATACGATCCCAAAGAAGAGGGCACACATGAGCTTGTTGTTAAATACAATGGCGAACCAGTTCAGGGTAAGTTATTAGCTTAATTACTTTCGTACTGAGAAAGAATTATTGAGAATTTGATACTTTTTTATTTTAGGGTCGCCTTTCAAATTCCATGTTGACTCTATAACTTCCGGTTATGTTACTGCATACGGTCCTGGTCTAACCCATGGTGTTACCGGTGAACCATGTAACTTTACAATTTCAACTAAGGGTGCAAGCGCTGGTGGTCTTACTATGGCCGTAGAGGGACCTAGCAAAGCTGATGTAAGTATTTATTTACTAAAATATTTCACATCCACCGATTTAATTGAATTGAATGTGAATGTCAATTGAATGCGAAATTAAAGTATATCTAAATACTGTGCTAAATTAAAATTTCTGAAAATTTCTAAACAGTTATCACATGTGAAAAATATTGAAAAAGTAAACGTGTAAATAATATTATTAAAATATTCTACAATTAAAAGAAATCCAATTGCATTGGGAACTAAAGTGCACTGCTATTACGAGTAAATATAATAAAACAGAAATATATAGTGCAACTTTTTCGTGGTGAGCACATACAAAGGTATAGGATGATTTGTTGCATCCTATACTACTCCAGTGTGAATAATATAACTTCTATGTGGATTTAATACACGATTAATTGCTAGAACGGTATTTCTCCTTACGTGCCACAGAGGTTAACATACAAAACGCTATTAATTTATAGGACCTACTTTTCCTTAAAACGGTCCGTGAATTCGTAACTTGAAATTTCTACAATAATCAGAACGAAATATTGCAAATCCAATCTTGGCAATTCTTAATCTGATTTTTTCAAACAATAAAAGCGATTTTTTCATACAATGAAAGAAGTTTTGACCCAATCTAGGTCAAACTGTAAACACAGTCTAAACAGATTGCATATCACATATAAGCTGAACTATTTTTATTGTATGCCGAAAGTATAACACTGAATCGTGTCGTATTTTAAACGTTATCACTCCCACTTACGGAATAAAGTCTGAATAAACAATGTACAAAGGTTCATGTTCAGTCATACTATTATAACTGCCGCTTCATACCCTTCCTCACCTTTACTAACTTATTTCACTATAGATGCAACTCTATCATATTTTAGCACATTCTCATTCTATATTCTCAACTCAATAGAAATGTAATATTGAAGTAGTTATTATTTGTTAGGCTTTGCAGAAGTAACAGACCCTATAGTAGATTACAAATATACTTAAACCGGAGAGAAAAGAAAGCAAAATATATTTAATCACTTATCACTTATATATTTTTGGCTATTTCGGCTATTGAAAAATGTTTTGCAAAACTGTGCTCAGTATAAAAAGGGAGTTAATTTTTACACTTTGCTAACATTTTATTTATATCCCAACTTTTCTCGTTGGATTCAATACTTGAAAAAAGACTATACAACTCCTCTGGAAAAAACTTCACTGTGTAATGTACATATATAATTTACATCTATTCTGTGAGCTTCATTTAAAAAATCAATCGTACATACTCTACATAATATTACATATTTTTATTTACAGATCAATTATCACGATAATAAGGATGGTACAGTTTCTGTACAATATCTACCTACTGCCCCCGGTGAATATCAGATATCAGTACGCTTTGGTGATAAACACATCAAAGGTTCACCTTATTTAGCCAAAATAACTGGCGAAGGTCGCAAACGTAATCAAATATCTGTTGGTTCCTGTTCAGAAGTATCAATGCCCGGTGAAATCACCGATGATGATTTACGTGCATTGAATGCTTCTATTCAAGCTCCGAGTGGTTTGGAAGAACCATGTTTCCTAAAACGCATGGCTACTGGGAATATTGGCATCTCATTCACACCACGTGAAATTGGTGAACATATGGTGTCTGTCAAACGCATGGGCAAACATATACCAAACTCTCCATTTAAGGTAACAGTCTGTGAACGTGAGGTGGGAGATGCCAAAAAAGTCAAAGTTTCCGGTGCAGGACTGAAAGAAGGTACAACTCATGCCGATAATACTTTTTCGGTGGATACACGCAATGCTGGTTTTGGCGGTCTATCCGTTTCAATTGAAGGCCCAAGCAAAGCAGAAATACAATGTACTGACAAGGATGATGGCACGTTAAACATCTCCTATAAACCAACCGAACCTGGTTACTATATTGTTAACTTAAAATTTGCTGATCACCATGTTGAAGGTTCACCATTCACAGTCAAAGTGGCTGGTGAAGGCAGTAATCGGAAACGTGAGAAAATTCAACGTGAACGTGATGCTGTGCCAGTAACAGAAATTGGTAGCAAATGTAAGCTGACCTTTAAAATGCCAGGCATTACCTCATTCGACTTAGCAGCTTGTGTTACCTCACCAAGTAATGTTACTGAAGACGCCGAAATTCAAGAAGTAGAAGATGGTCTGTACTCTGTGCATTTTATTCCTAAGGAATTGGGTGTGCACACAGTATCTGTACGTTATAAGGAAATGCATATACCCGGCTCACCTTTCCAATTTACTGTAGGCCCATTACGTGACTTTGGTAGTCATTTAGTAAAAGCAGGTGGTTCTGGTTTAGAACGTGGTGTTGTGGGTGTACCTTCTGAATTTAATGTATGGACACGCGAAGCCGGTGGTGGTTCTTTAGCTATTTCCGTTGAAGGACCTAGTAAAGCTGAAATTGAATTTAAAGACCGTAAAGATGGTTCCTGCGATGTTGCTTACAAAGTAACTGAACCAGGTGAATATCGTGTAGGTTTGAAATTCAATGATCGCCACATACCTGACTCACCATTTAAGGTATATATATCACCAGATGCTGGTGATGCTCACAAGCTGGAAGTTCAACAATTCCCGCAAGGTAATTACTTTGAATATTCTTGCAATGTATTATAATATATAATATATAAACACAATATATTTTACTTCTTTAGGCAATATACAAGCTGATGCTCCTTACCAATTTATGGTGCGTAAGAATGGCGCTAAAGGTGAACTCGATGCTAAAATTGTAGCACCATCCGGTACTGACGATGATTGTTTCATACAAGTAATTGATAGCGAAATGTATTCTATACGTTTCTATCCGCGTGAAAATGGTATACATGCTATACATGTTAAATTCAATGGTGTGCACATACCTGGATCACCATTTAGAATCAAGGTTGGTAAGGATGTAGCTGATCCAGCTGCAGTTCATGCTAACGGTAATGGTTTAGAGGAAGTCAAAACTGGTCACAAGGCCGATTTCATTATAAATACTTGTAATGCTGGTGTGGGTACATTAGCTGTGGCCATCGATGGTCCTTCGAAAGTAGCAATGGATTGTACAGAAGTCGAAGAGGGCTACAAAGTACGTTATACTCCTTTACTGCCTGGCGATCACTATATATCAGTGAAATATAATAACATGCATATTGTTGGCTCACCATTTAAAGTCAACTGCACCGGTAATAACTAACCATAAATTATACTTATAAAAAAAATATATCACTACCCATTTTTTCATGTCCACAGGTGATAAGTTAGCTGATGAAGGTGCTCAAGAAACTTCAACTGTTATTGTTGATACAGTGCAAAAAATCTCTAAAGGTGGCAAAGGTACTGGGGTTCATATGCCTACCTTTAAATCGGATGCCTCAAAAGTAACATCAAAAGGCATGGGCTTGAAAAAAGCGTACATGGGCAAACAGAATCAATTCTCAATTTGCGCAACTGATGCAGGTAGGTACTTTCTGCTGAGTCTGATCTATGCTTCTAACTATCATGTCACTCAATTAAGATTTTATGTTATATCGCCAAATAATTCTATACTCTTTTTATATAGGTAACAATATTCTGTATCTTGGTATTTATGGACCCAAAGGACCCTGCGAAGAGTTTAGCATCAAACATGCTGGACGTAACAACTACAATGTTAATTATTTAGTACGTGATCGTGGTCAATACATTTTAATAATCAAATGGGGCGATGATCATATTCCTGGTTCCCCATTCCAAATTGACGTTTAAGTTAAATTTTTAAAACTTAAAATTATAATATTCGAAAGAAGAAAAAAGAAACTATTCGAAATTTAACTAATCTAAGAAAGTAAAACTTTTTAAATTGTTTGTGAGAAAATCTAATAAATGATAACGACTACCGCTCTGATTAAAAAAAAGTAAATATCTATCAGTTCGTACGCACTCGTATTTATTTATTAAGTTTGATGTGTATGTAAATATTAAATAAAAAAATTAAATTTAAAAAACTTAACTTTATAAATAGGAAAGAACTCTCCGTTTTTCTATTTGTTTTTAATATAATTTTTGTATTTTATGTTTTTTTATTTGTAATATTTTTATATTCAAGTAACATTTCGTGTTTTGTCGTTAATTTATTGTTTGCCGAAGAGTAAATTTTATTGTACCGTAAAATATATTCATTCAATATTAAATATTTTTTGTTATTCATTATATAAAACGTATTATAACTTATTATTATATATATATATATTATATTATGTTTTTATTATTTTCATAAAAAACTATAATAAATAAATCTAATATTTTTCATTTTTTTTATATTTATAATCAGTATGTAACCGAAAAGATTTATTACTTGAGCAGGATGAACTTTCCTGCTTCAATTGCGGTCTGAATATATCCCTGCACTAAATAGTTCTTTGTATCGTATAAATACGTCTGGCGTAAATGTGTATCCCAACTGCAGCTTTATAAATTATGACATCGTCCATCTGTTTTAAACGATCCAGCTTAAGTTCAATATTCTCAACTATCTCTCTCCTCTCCCATCCCGTCGTATTATGCAAGTTTTGTTAACATACCATGTAATTGTTTCTCAGATTACCATTGATTACAGCCATAAGAACTTACCGAGAACGGAGCAAGGCTGTAATACTGATAATCTTGAAAACGAAAAGATGTAAATCTCTTCAATTTATAAACGAAATCGCAACAGATTTCTTAGTCAAGCTATCACACCAACATACAGGAATTAAATGTTTCTATATGGGATTTCCAGTGCTATTTATTAATTCGTTGAACTGTTTGCCAGTTTCTCCTTTCTCTTAGATATTTGCAGTCAGCTACTTCGCCTTGTAGCTGGAAAATTCTATTAGCCATGCTGTAAGTGGAATCTGATCATATGGTTTGTGAAGTATGTTGGCTATCCGGACATGTGTTCTAATTTTTCTAATTTTTCTAATGTTTTAATTTTGTTATTTAAATTAGATAAGAATTATCTTATCTATTTTAATTAGATAAGCTTGAATGCTAACGCTACATAACAATAAATTGGTAAGCCTAAAATTAGCCTGTAAATTGCAGCATTAGAACATATGGGTAATATCATTAGGAGTCGAAGTGGGGACAAATATTGGCACCATTATTTAAGTGTAAAAAAAAAATGTTTGTATACTGGATGTTATATACCATATATTTTGAAAAAAAAAATTATTATGACATCAGATGGTTGCGGTTCTTTACGAGGATCATTAATATGTGACATACGATATTAGTTGTAACTGTCATTGCATAGCGCTGAATTTTGTCATGATTTGGGATTATCACAACAATGCATCTAACAGAAAGGTGCGGTCCACATCGAAGCAGCAGAGGTCGCAATAGGTTACCGTACTGCTTTTTATGGATTCAGTAAGTTTTATTTAACCTTGCACAACTTATAGCCGGCAAACGCCTTCAGCACATTGTTGCAACTCTTCAATTGACTTTACATAGCAAATAAAAAATAACATACAATTTAAGTCGAAAACTCTGGGTGTCATATTAAGGAAGATTCAAGGTAGAGGGTTTTTATCTCAAAAGTTTTCAACCACTTGAAGATATGTATAAATTTTGTAGCAAAATCCTAACACATGACCAAAATCGCACAAATATCTGCATACGTTCAATCGCTGACTCCTCAGATCGGCCGAGGCCGCACTCCTTGCCAGTTATCTTTACAGACGATCAATTTTAGTTCACGAAATGACCAAAGTAGAAGGTTGCTTCTAGCTATCTCGCTGCTTGAATTATTATTTATTTATTAAAATGATTCTATATTATTCTATAAATGAAACTTTGCGAACAAAATAAATTCCACATTTATAATAGAGATTAGATCCTTTATAACACCCAACTTTTTTAACAGTTTGCTAATTAGAGAGAATAGAAATATCGTTTTTAATTTTCTTATAAGAGTTTAAAAATAAATAGCAAACAGCAAAAATTCTGAAATAGGAATATCGTATATTTTATACAAAAAAATATAAGCTATGAATAATTAATAACAAATATATTTATTTTTAACAACTTTCGATTAACACTACTTTTAACATTTAAAAAACTTTACAATAATTAAGAAATACTTTTGAAACAATAATAATTAATTAGTTAAAGTAAATATATGTTCTTAAAAAATATAATTACATATATATAACATCTGCGCTCTTAGTTTATTCAGTATTTTTACTGAGCGAAACATGTAGGTCTCCAAATAGTCCAACATATTCTAAATCATCTGCAGAACTGTCAGTGGCTTCATCCATTATAGGAGACATCGGTGGTTTATAATAGACCGTTGCATTTGCATCGAAACGACGTGGTCCTAAATAATATTTGAGAAATTTACTAGCGCTTCGTTCTCCAATAACATTACTTAGATGATCTTGAGTTATATTAAAGCAACCATCAGAAAAGCTATGTGCAGGAGCTGATGTTTTCTTTGTTGGCGTATAAATTATAATGCCCTTCTTCGTCTGCTGACCAATATCCAGATCTAAGGATTGTTGTAAATTTTGCAAATCGTTTGTAGTAGATGTTACAACTGTACAATCACACTCCGATTGACTTGAGTAAAGAGTTTGATTATTAAGCGTAGATTCGATATGTGTTGGAATTTGTCGATCTGTTGCTATATTATTTGCCACTGCAGTCGAATTGCACACCGAACTAGAATTCTGGAAAAATGTATCATCAGGCAGGGTTGAAGATACTAACTTTGTTCGTATCGGTACAGATTTTTGCTTTATTTCAGGTTGAGTACCCTCGTTATTTTTATTTTCGATAACTTTGACATCATTGAAATACAGTTTTTTATTTACTTTCTTAGCTTTTGTCTCGTTTTCAATATCTTTGACATCATTGGGTTTCTGTTTATTATTTGCTTTCTCTGATTTTATCTCATTTTTAATATCTTTAACATCATTGGGTTTCTGTTTTTTATTTGCTTTCTCTGCTTTTGTCTTATTTTCAATATTTTTGATATCATTGGATTTCTGTTTTTTATTTGCTTTCGCTGCTTTTGTCTCATTTTCAATATCTTTGACATCATTGGGTTTCTGTTTTTCACTTGCTTTCACAAATTGCTGTTTAGACAAATATATGGCTAATTTTAGATCAGATTCAAAATTACTTTCGTCACTTTCCGTCCTGTTCTGCAATTGTACTTGTTTTTTAGTTGGTATCTTTAGTTTTTTAGAAGACTCTTCTCTAATTTTATTAAATTTATCTTCTTTGTCAGAATCATCATGTACAAAATCTCTTACACTTTCAATTCGCAATTCTTCTTTTGTTTTCGTTTTAAGATCGGGTTTTTGAGTTTCTCCTTTTGGTGATATTACCTGAACAGTATCTGTTTTATGTTCTTCACTTTCGTATTTATTATCTTTATGTGAGTCCTGTTTTATAATATCAAGCGCTTTTATTGCCATTTCTTTCTTTAATTTATATTTTTTCGTTTTTAAATTTTTTTTTAATAAATCATAATTTTTCGATAGTTTTTTAATGGCAATATCTTTTGAATTTCGACTTTTATGCTTATCTAATATTGGATTAGTTGACAATTTTTGACCATTTCCTAGCTGCTGATTTATATCGACAGATAGGCTGTTTATTTTATCATTTTTAACCTTTTCTTTCTTTGACTTGTTTTTCTTCTCTCCCAAATCTTTAGTTTTTTTAGTGGTCGAATTAGCAACAGAATCGGGATAAAGAATATTCTTTCCATGAAGTGTTAAATCATCTTTTTCAGATTTTTTGACCTCATTTATTTTAACATTATTTTCAATTTTTGTTAAATTTTTTTTTGCTTTAATATTGCTCTCGGTTAAATTTTGTTTTGAAATATTCTTTTTATCCATTGAAAGTGTGTTTTGCTGTGTACTTTGTGCAATATCCTGTTTGTTTAATTCAAAACTGTCTACAATTACACAATCTTCATCTAAATCAGAAGAACATCTCCGCTGATTAGTTTCACTTTTCAGCAATCGTCCGTTTAAACCTAAGTGGTTAGACAGAGTTTTTTCAACAGAAAACCGATTAGTTAATTTATCTTGTATTCCAGTTGTTGCACTTAAATTTTCTATATTCTTATGGACGTCTTCTATTTTAAGTTTTTGACTTATTTCACAAGCAGAACTTTGTTTGGGGGTTCCTAAACGTTTTAAAAGGTTTGCAGTAACATTACTTGGTTGAGATCTCTTTAATGGGGTTTCGTTATTGTCAACTAACCATCGCTCTGTAGATGTATCAGCCAAATGTCTATAGAATAAACATTTCTATTATAAAAAAAAATATTATACATTTAATTTTTAACTTACCTGATAGCTTTACATAATTTACCATCATTTACACAATCACATTCAGATTCACGTATACATGGTCGTGGATCCAACTCTAACTCCGAATTTGGTTTTTTATGCCCTCTATGCTTGTTTTCAAAACTATGCGATGAGAGATATGATGAATTTGTTGCACTTAAATTACACTGTCGTCCACAACGGCAGCGATACAAGCAACAACAATTAAAATTGCGCTTACGACTGGTCTTTTGCCTTTTTATGGAACGTTTTCTGTTCGTAAGTTCTTTGTATGTAAAATATTTTCCATTGATCTCGCCATCAGATGAAGATGAATCAGTCGAATCAGTGTGCATAGAATTATGGTGATCTGTAAGCCGTTTACGTAAATATTTGCGTCGTTTTATAATATTATGACTCTCTGCACATACTCCAAATTGTTTACTATCGCTCCGTTTTGTGCGTATCTGAGACAAGCAACGGCGATCAAGTATGTCTTTAATATGATCTTCATAATGCTCAGGATATGTTTTATATTTTCTATTTAATGCATCACGTTTACTTTTCAATAAACAATATGTTTTAATTGTTGTTGTTGTTGTGCACATAGAACCGAATTTTTGCTTTTTACCGCCATGTCGCTTTTGGTTCGATAAAATATAACGCGCTGTATCTACCGAATGCATTGAGTCTTCATCAGATTCATAGCTTTCATTGAATTTGTGGTCATTAAAACCAGTTGTATACGGTGCAGTATATTTCAAGTCATCGGTTTTATTTATAAGTGAATTGTTTGCATTATGATTGCGAAGTAGCCATTTATCCAATTCTTTTTCAATTTTTTGTGCATCAAATGTATCAAGAATGCGATCAATACCAGATTCTTTCAATCTACGCTTATGTTCTATTACAATAGGTACAGTTTCATTCAACAACTTTTGTATGTCATCATCGTCGCTATCAATATCGTAACTGCCGTTGCCTACTTTTCTATTTATGGGTTCAAGCGGTAAGTTAGGATTCAACGCTATAAACCTGTTTATATTAGCTATTGTATTGTTACAAGACGAACCACTGAGATTTGCAATATCTTGCAAATTTTCTTCAGGTTCTTCTTCCGCTTCTTCAAATTCACCAGTAACATCTTGGTCAATGTGATCTTCCAAATTTTCAAGAAGAATTTCTTCACTGTCTCTAACTTTGGAGTATTTCTAAAATGGTAATTTTGTTTATGATTTCAACGCTCACTCCATATTAATTACATTATTTACTTACGTCAAAAAATTGCGACCATTCCAAGACGCGCTCAAAATTTGAGCGCTCCAATTCCTGCAGATTCATGTGTAAAATTTCATAAATCACCTTTTAGAGTTATTAAACCAACACCATTTGAATCTAAAATACAAACTATCAATATATCCGAAACAAAAATTGACAAATTTCGCACAAATACAAATTTGAGAACTAAAGACGCTAATTTTTCCCCGTTTTTTTTGTGTTGCCAATACGATTAAAGATGATTATTATTTGATCCTGCCACTTGTTGAAATCAACATAAAATGTTTTTATAATCAAATTATTATAAAAATTATATAAAATTTTAAGATATACTATAATTAAAATTAAATTAGAATAAAGAGGACAATTGGCAGACTTATGATGTTGAGTTTTGTTTGCATGTGTAAAGCATTTAAAGTTATAAAAATATAAAATGATTAAAATCCATTAATTGCTAAAACACCGAACATTTCTTTTATTCCAACACGATTTTGGTATATAAGATACTTTCGGAAGCTTTTAAGTGTGGAAAAAAAAAACAGCAAGCTGCTCGTTTAAAGTTTCTAAAATATACAAAAAACAACAACGCTACTTATTCTATCTAAGCACCTAGTTTAGAAGTGGGCAAACTTAGCAACTAGAGAAAAAAAAGTGTTACCAACGCAATAAGCGAACTATTGTGAACCTTCATTGGAAATTTCAACGAATATTTCAGTCGTATGTCAAAAAATGGTAAACAAAAATTCAAGCATAATTAAAATGTTTCACAAATTTAAAGATTTTTGACATGAAATGTTTTAAAAAAATGCAAAAGTGTGAAAAACAAATATTTCAAATATATACAAGAATTTTTAAGAGTACGTGATGAAAGTATAATTGAAAAGGATATAAAATTTGATATATTAAATCATTTATATATATATGTAGGAATTGACAAGATGGGTAAAGAAACCGGCAAATTGACAACACTGTTTTTTTTTTGATAATTTTCTGACATTCTGGTTTCTTTTTGGTGGTTGAAGTATATGTATGTGACAACTTTGAAACATATTGAAAAACAACTTAAAATTAAGCACCTGTTAAAATATATTAGGGGTATTCAGGCAACTGATTAGTTGATTACTACAAAAATTTGCACGCAAAAATGAAACTAAGCAGAGAATCAACTATTTCGGTGATTCTCAGATTAGTACAAATTTGATTAATAGTGCTGCCAGTCCCAAGTGTCGTAATAATAACTTAAAATGAACTTTTGTATAGAAATTTGTTAGCTATCTCTCTCAGCTGTTTAAATTGTGTGTAAACAATTTTCACTGTTAACGTATGTTTCGCTTTTGTTGTTGATGCGAGTGCTGCCAAGGCATTTACACACAACAAACTAATCAGATTACGCATTTTGGGTCATTCAAGCAACTGATTAACATCAAAATGCTAAATTTTTTTTATATGAAGTTTTTGAATCAACTAAGCAACGAATCAGTTGCCTGAATACCCCTATTATAAAATTTATATTGTAAATTATGTTTATCAACAATTTTGTTTTAATATTATAAGGCCGCGTGCGAGTTCGATTAAATTGGGTTGAAGTAAATTAAAATTTCCTAGTGATTTTTTGCACTGCACTAATGTAAATATTTATTTATTTATTTATTGGTCTTATTTATTATTTTTGGTTAAAAGTTTTAAAGTTTATTTATTATTTATTAAACATCTTATAATATTTATAATAGTAACACCTAATTTATCTAATTTTAATCTAATTTACCCTGCTCGAAATTCTGGTAAATACCAACATTCGCTGCCATACTGATCTAATTTAATATTTCCCTCAATTTACCATCAATTTACTCGAGCTCGCATACGGCCTAAATAAAAATATATGTATATGTAAATATATACATATTATTCAATTAACAAAAAAGAGTTGCGTTTGATATTTTTTGCCTTAAATGAGGTGATTTACATGAAAGCTCTTTGTGTGGTAACTTATCCTGATTAGTTGTCATAATGAGCAAAACTGACTTAATGAGATCAATGGAACATGACTATGCAGTTGTTTCGAGTATTGCCAAATACCCATCATCAGTGGTCAAATAATTCTTGTATTTAATTATTCGTAAATAATTATAATTATATGTTTATATATTTTAATGATTTTAAAAGGTTTTAAAGTCACTTTAAGCGCGTTTACAAGCAATAATTTAAAGTTTGAAGGTGTTTTAAATGTATTATCATATATAATAACTAATATATTACTTTGACTTTTAATTCATATTTTTAACAAATTTATCTTAAGCAATTTTTGAGTTCACGTAAAAATATGCTCTTAATATATAAAATTTAAAAATTTTTTATTCCACAAAAATACCTATTATTGGTCATATTGGGAATTTTCACTTTAGTGCTATAGGGTGACAATGCAAAAGAAAGGAAATTATAATCTGTCAACTGTCAAAAACAGTTGATTTTTATTATTGTCACGCGTGAATTTAAAATGCAAAATAATGCCATTAGTGAAAGTTATTTAATTAAATACTTTAAATTAAAAAATTAATAAACAAAAGCATCGTCCAGCATAAATTATAAAAATAAAATTTGAATAACAGTTATTTGTAAAATGACAACATTTCTGCGTCGCTTTTTCACGCATTTTGCTGAAGAATTGACGCCAACTGACTTAATTGGTTACTTGCAACAAACGCAACAAAAAATTGGATTAAATCATTTCACAGGCACTTCAGGCATTGAGAGTTTGTCATGGTTACACCAGGTTTCACCGTGTTTTGCGTTGCGCGGTGAGCAAATAAAAATTATACATGAACCAAAGCATTTCTACGATACATTAGTTGAACGCAGTGCCGCTGCACGTGAACGCATAGTACTTGCCAGTCTCTATTTAGGAACCGGACAGTTGGAAAATGCTTTTGTGCAAACGTTACGGCAAAGTTTACAACAACAAACAGCATTACAGGTAAATGTTTTGCTTGATTTTACGCGTGGCACGCGTGGAGAAACTAATTCCAAAACAATGTTGCTGCCATTAGTGCGAGACTTTGGTGAACAAGTTCAACTCTCGCTCTACCATACACCGGACTTGCGTGGCATGACAAAACGTCTTGCGCCGCCACGTTGGAATGAATTGCTGGGCTTACAACACATGAAAGTTTATTTGTTCGATGATGCTGTGATTATATCAGGAGCCAATTTGTCCAACGATTATTTTACAAATCGTCAGGATCGTTATATATTGATTGAGGACAAGCCGTTGGCAGATTTTTACGCACAATTCATAAAACGAGTGCAGGAGTTCAGCTTGGCTGTTCGACAAGATGCCGAAGTCGGTTTACATCGTTATTGGAAAATTTTGCCATATGAAGGCACAAAGGAGGAATTCGTTCGGAGTGCTAAGCAACGTATAACAGATTTTATGCAAGATGTTTACAAGCAGCAGCAAACACGGCTAGAAGTAAACACAGGTAAGAGAATTTCATTTTAGAAAAATTTTTAAATAATTTAAAAAAAAATTAAATTATTTTCTAGATGCGGACACCTGGATATTTCCACTGATTGAAATGGGACAAATTGGCATACATCATGACAGTATTGTCACTAAGCGTTTATTGTCTAACTGTATAAGTGGGTCACGTTTAAAATTAGCGACGGGATACTTTAATTTAACACAAGAATACATGGACACAATAACAAATAATTGCCTCGCACAATGTAGCATACTAATGGCACATCCCAATGTAAGCAAAACTTGATTTAGGTTGTTATTTAAAAACGTAAAAGTTATTTGTTTTTATCTATTAGGCTAATGGCTTTCAAGGTGCCAAAGGACCAGCTGGTGGCATACCCGCTGCCTATACTTTAATAGCAAAAAGTTTCTATGAGAATTTAGTGCGCCGCAAACAGAACCACCGTGTTAATTTCTTTGAATACGAAAAGGAAGGTTGGACATATCACGCAAAAGGTTTATGGTACGTAAAACTACTAATATGAACTGAGTGCCATAGTGCTAAACTAGCTATTTTCTTTTTTATCTCTCTAGTATTAATTAAAGTAATTTTTTATTTTATTCTGCTCGATTATAGGTATTATCTACCGGAGTCAACATTACCAAATTTAACATTAATTGGTTCCTCGAATTTTGGTGAACGCTCTGTTAACCGCGACTTAGAAACACAGGTCTGTTTAGTTACCAACAATACCGGCTTAAGTAATCGTTTGCAAGCTGAAGCGGATCGTTTGTTTGCCTTGTCGAAAACCGCCGAACGGGAAATTGTTTTGCGGCCGATACCACGTTGGGTGCAAGCTGTAGTTAAAATTTTCCGAAACTTCTTTTAAATGCATACACAAATGTGTGACGTGTTGGGGACAACACCTTTCCTGAAACTTTCACTTAGTCTCATTACTTGTTACCAAATTTTGTAATTTTTATATGACATTATATTTATGGACCTCAGACAGTACATTTAACTGTTTTAAACCGCGTATATAAATACCTCAAATATTTTTGTGTATTTAGGATATACAATCCACGATTCTCTTTATATTGTTTTAATTAAAAATGTATATTTTATTTTCATTAGTAAATTATTAAGTTCTTGTTTAAATATTAAAATCCTATTAGGTATATTTATATAGTCAAGAAAAAGTAAGAATATGGTGATCAAAGTTCAAATTTATTTTGTTTATTGTAACAACAATGTATAAGCAAATTGCATGCAATAAAAATAATTTTACTTTTTAAAATTATTAAAATATTTTTTTATTTATTTATTTGAAAATATATTTCTGCATTTGATATAATTGATTATTATATCTTATATTTTCATCAAAGATGTACTCCCTGTTCGCTGGTTTGGTGTTGTGGTTGTAGGTTATAAGGATCCTGAATAAGAAAAAAAGCTCATTTGGTATATGAACTTAAAGGATTGAGTGATGGCTTTATTATAACGTAGAATAAGACATTGTGAATGCCATAGGTTTGGTGAGTTGTATTTAAGAAGATTGAATCTAACTAATTATAGGGACGAGAAACCCTACTGATTTAGTTGAACAAATGTATGAATTAAAATAAATTCGTTAAAGATTTTGTTATTCGGATATATGCCAAATCAAACACAGATATACGTGATAAGTTTATTATATAATTTGAAACGATGAAACTTTTTACTAATATATAAATACCACAAGTCCAATTTATATACAGTACAAAGTGATTTTTTACGTATCTTGAACAAATGAATTACTTCTCCAAAATACTTGTACTTTGAAAGAGCATACCCTGTACCTAAACATATAATTATTACGTTAGATTCGTCAGACCTATATTGCCTTGTAAATAAAACAGCATCTTAACATTTAAGTTAAATGATGTTTGTTGCTTCGAAATATTTTATAAATTAAATAAGCATTAAACAGAAAATGTGGCAACTCTATATTAATTAAGGAATTGAACTGAAATGCAACTGGTTCTTATTTTTCCGCATGTTTTCAGTTTAGTACAATTAATCGAATGCAATATTTTCCATAATGTAGACGAATCAGCTGATGTTTTACAAGACAACTAAGTCAACCTTAAACCAATGCAATATCGAATCTCATCACTTACTTGCTGCTACACCGACCAAACTTTAGCAAGTTTTGTTTGTTCCAATGCAAATACACATTATTTTCAAATTTAGTCAAAAAAAAAAAATTTGTGGTTGTGAAAATGTGTGCATTTATACAAAAATCTTGCCAAAATTTAGTTATAGACAGCGCGTCTATGATGGTTTAATTGTAACATACTCATATTAAGTAATTCGTATAGACAAAAGCAAATTGCAGAAGCCCATATGGTTTCTGAATCGAACGCAACATATATTTCGTAAAAAAAGTTGAAGTTTATATTCTAATCTTATTTTTAATTATACGTCTCTGTAATACCATATTTTCACTGTCTCATTAACTCTTAAGGATAATTTACTATACAAAGAGCTTCCATTTCAATGACCTCATTAAAAATAAATCATTTTATCACCAATTGGAATTTCGTATTGTTATATGTTTTATATGTAAAATGTAAACAAACAATTTCCATCACATGCATTATGTCAATGAAAACGACTAAATCTTATTTTATTAACATAAGTAGTTTTACATGCAAAAATATAATAGGTCTGCTCCACGAGCTACTCGCATTAACTTTGAGTAACACTGTGTATGCACAAGTGCGTTCCACCCACGGTTGCCACTTGAAAATTTTTTCCTGTACCAAAATTGGTTTAAAAAGGTACCATTTCTGTAAAAAAAGGTCCAAAATTTTTTTGGACCTTTTTGTTTTCTCGTTCTGTGTTTTTCATAGTGTTATAAATGAACAAAATATAAAATAGTGCAAAGTTGCATTTATAAAAAATTAATTGGAAATATCCACAATAAAATTGGGTCGTCAAAAATGTACCAGTTTTTGAACATGAGTACCAAACGAAAAAAAAAAAAAAAAGTACCAATTTTGGTACTAAGTACCATAAGTGGCAACCGTGGTTCCACCAGCAAATTTTCGAGTAAATGAGTGCATCTGAGAGAACGTAACACTCCCGTCGAAATTTGAAAATGCTACGCAGACTTTACTCGTACATTTTATTTCAAGTAAAATTTGTGTTGATATGTAAATCAGCTGTTTTAGTTTGAATTTAAACTTGTGTATTGTTTATTTACAAGGCACTGGTCTTCTCACCAGACTTTACACAAAGCTGTTCCATACCGTGGAACAGACCTAATATAACGCGATTATCTAAAATATATTTAAGCAATTATCTAACATTTCCCTAAATATTTTAAAGTAATTAAAATCTTATGTGTTGGTAACTATGTTTGGAATTCAATATAATCGTTTCATGTTTAAATTGTTCCAAAATATTCTCGCTCTCTCCTCCATATAAGATACACAGGTGTTGCCAATAGTTGAAATTTTAAAAACAACAATCAATTTAAGAAACTACAATGATATCAAATTTAATATATAATTAATATTATTGTATTATATTTAAATATTAAATTTTTAAACAAAATATTGTATTTAATTTGTTTATTTGATACTCTCAATTACATTCAAAAAAAAAAACAAAGAAAATAATTACGCGTGAATTTGAGTATAACAAGTTTCGCTTTACTACAAAAAAGTGAGATCATTTCGTTCGCTGCTTTCGTCGCGAGTAGGTGATTCGATTTTGACGCGGTTGGTGGTTTACTCATTGTTGTTCGTATTTTGATAACGGTAACGCGCCGGCGTAAGTCATTTTTTATCCAAGTTCGGTTTGTTTATAAACATTTTGTGTAATAAAAATGTTTGATTAAAAATCCGCATTAATGTTTTCCATTGCGAAACTTGTGTGTTTAAAGTTATCGTTGTATTTACGTGTGTGATTTTTTTTTGTGGAAAAAGACAGAATTTTTGTTTACGAAAGATATAAACGAAATTTCTTGTTTTTGTTTGGATTTCCTTTAATTTTCGCAATGTTAACGAAATAAAAAAAAAATTTCCATAATAAAATAAGTGGAAAGTGCTTTAATTGTTTAATAATTTTACGGTAAATAAATTTTTAACCAAAACAATAACAAAAATTTGAAGTTCATTGTTTTTTTATGGGTTTTTTTTGTTGACTGTGTTTATATTTCAACCGATAAACAACAACAAAAACAGTGTAAGAATTCTTTTGTATAAGAATTCTGTGTAATGTAATAAAAAGTGAAACAAAAACACTGGAAATTAGATCGGAAATTAATAATTATATATAAAATCTTAAAAGGTGTGGAATTTAAAGTGTTTTGTTTTTATTAAAAAAAAATTATATTTCTATTTAGTTATATTTTAATAATTAAAATTAGAAAAATTATTATTAAACGCTTATAATTTAAACTGCTTTTCTATTCACATTACGTGGTGAATTTTTTTATATGAGGTGAATTAGAATGACGAAAATTACTGTTATTTTTCATGATTGTTGCTCTAAAGAACTGAACTTTAACATTCTAATAGAAAGTGCCCCCTAAGTATTTTTGTTATGAATTGAAATGAAAACAAATGAGACCTCAACCTATATGTTTTAAAATTGTCTGATTTTTATTTGGATCAGATAGAAATTGTTAGTGCAATAATTTTTTAATATTAGATGAACCTCATTCAACATTCTTTCGAAAATGTTAGTACAAATCTTCCATTTAGTTAGGATAGATTAGCGGCACAAAAAATCTGACACGGTTGCAGTGCTCTCACTTGGTTAGGTGTAAGTACCATATTTCCGATGTCCGAAAGTTTTTGAATGACCTTATACTATATTCTTATATTCTTAGATGAAATTTTAATAAATTATAAACAATATTTTTGTTAAAGAATTATAATAAATAAAAATAAATTCTGTTTCAATGTAGATATACAAATTTAGAGATATTTAAATCTTCTATTTACATTTCTTTGCTTCTACTAGAATCAGTTGTCTAGTACAAAGAGCTGCCGTAACATTATCGATACAGTAGGTAGACTAAAAACTTTCCAAAGTTTCTACCATTTCGTTAAATCTATTTAAGGTTAGGTTTAAGACTCAAGGATTTGGTATGTATATGATTTTACCAATTCTATTTATTTTAAATATATTTGTTTATGTCTACAATTAACATTTGCTTCAAACGTTTTTACAATTTTTATGGGTTTTGTATCCATTTGCTTTACATTTTTTTACAATTTTCATTTGCTTTAAATGTTTTTCTAAATAAAATAGGTTAAGTATCCAGTAAACGACAGTTTTACTTAAATATGATTTGTTTTCATTCAAATTGTTAATCGATTTGCTTTGTATATAGTTTAGAGAAATAACACCACTTTTTCTATTTGAGTTGTAAATATAAAAAAAAAGTGCTGATTTGGCCCCTGCTAATCCCTGTCCCTAAAGCTACTTGTTTTACTAGAAAGACGAATGGCTTCAGAGCATAGATCTGTTTGCCCTTAAAACAACTTTGTTTCTTGATATATGGTGCTTCTTGTTATATTATTCTTTTTTCTATAATTTCCTTTTTAAGATTTGTAGTGCTGTTAGCTAGCACTTTCACTTTTGATATTGTATGACAGTAATAAAATCGTTATCTATATCCAAGTTAAATGTTGAAAATTCCATCAATAATAACACAACAGATGTTCTTGTTGCTATTATTGATTTAGAAAATTAATTTCAGTATTTACGTCTGGAAAGTAATAGATCTATCTACAAAATCACTAAAATAAAAAACCGAAGTTTGTATGTAATTCTACTTCTTATTTTAATTATTGATATATAGACGTTTGCTACCAGACATATGGTCCGTTGACATAGAATTTTCATTGTTCACAATTTCTAGTACCATAACTGGTAGAATATTTTTTTCCGGACCTATTCTATTTGCTCCGCCTTCAGGTAATTTTTGGTTTTGGCATGTCGTCTTTTTGAACGTTACATTTTAAAGTTGCGTGACATATTACATCATAGGGCTTCCTTAAAGTTGCGAAAGCGATAATATTTCTTTCTTTTAATTTAATTATTGATGTTCTCTTCTTATCATAGTAATTCTTCGTTTCTTCAACTTATTAATATAATACGTACTTGGTAGAACTCTGTATTTTGCGTTTAATATAAATTTGGTCAACATGTTTCCGATCTATAAGGGAGTTTCAATTTTACACAGGCATCTTAAATAAGGATTTTTAATTGCTATTCCATTAATCATATAAGTTTTTAAAGTCGACCTGTGTTTTTTGAATTGTGCCTCTTTCATCTTTACTAGAACACAGAAGGAGGTTGTAACGAGGACTCTCTATTTAAACTCATACTGAAATAATAGAATATAACATAAAAAAATATTAATAGTTTTATTAGTCTTAAATATATAATGTCTTCATAAGCCTAGTAAAACTGGTAGGTGCTTTATAATTTCTTTACGGAGTACAGTAACCGTCTCTATAACGCGGTAGATTAGTTCCGCGTTATAGAAAAACGTCTTATTCCTGTACACTCCGTGTAAACACGTGCACAGGTATGCGAAGCTAATTATGAACTGTACAAAACCCCGCGTTATATGGGGGAATGCCTGTGTTATACAGGGGACTAAAACCGCGTAATCAGAAAACGCGTTATAAGGATACCCCGTTATAGGGAGAGATTACTGTATACATCTATATTCTGCTTTATTATTCAATTTAAATTTATTATTAAAGATTATTAAATTATTATTACATACTATCCTTTACTAAATCGTAGTTAATATATTTTTTGTGAATATAAAAACTTATTTTGTTAATTAATATTCTTTTAGCTTTCCACGGCGAAGTAATTTATCTTCTGCTATGCAATTAATATCAAAATTGACTAATTGTAGTCCATTCATCTTATGGACTACTACTGACTTTCTTGTTGCACTCAATTTTGTTTTAATTTACGAAATTAAAAATGCAAATTAATTATTCATTAAAAATGTAAATCCAAAAAATTATTCCACTAAATACTGGCATATTTTTTCTGATATTGAAGAGGAGAGAACTTATTATGATTCATATTTTTGCGTTTTTTTGAGTGAAAATTCCGAATTATGATGGAAATAAACTGTAATTTGCTGCATACATCTTTAAGATATTTTAAACCACATTGTCAACATATGCGATAAAATACTGACTTTCCTTAGAAAGTCCTTTCGAGGCAACACAAATAAAATTTTATTACTGGCGCTTAGCCGCTATGAATTGTCTGACATATGTTAACGTTCATGAATTTGATGGAAGGGAGTGATGAAGACCTATAAATGTTTACATTTATGATGTAAATAAAAATTCCGTTAGGTGATTAAAAAAAATTTCCTCAATGACATGTGTGAAATATGATGATGATCTTAAAATAAATAGGGTTTTAAAGATTGAAATAGGTTTTCATAGGCTCACTAAATATTTTAGTATGTCAAAAAGTTAGACAATGATTTTATTACTTTCTATAAATAATATTTAGTAATTTCATTTATATTTCTATATATGTATATACATTTCTCATATCTTCAATAATTTATGTGTATTACACACCCTCGTAATTCCATTTTAATACCTAATAATCTCTTGTAATTTTATTATTTTTCTTTGCAGTTGATTTTACTCTGACGCGTAAAATTGATGACTGGAGCTCTCCTCTTATATGTGTCAATTATGATATGACAGTTAACGATCGGGGGCAGTAATATTTCAAGTTGTGCCGGATCCGCAGTGTGTTGCGTGAGTCAAAGTGTTATTCGGTTATTAGTGAGAAGCAGTCGATTAACGTTGCGAATTTATTCAATTTAAAAGAAAAAAGTGCGCGCTCCGCAGCAATTACGAATATTTTTAACTACGTTTACAAGCATTTCAACAGATATAAAATACAAATAAACTCCATATACCAACCAGTATATACTCAATATATATGTATATATATATTAAATCCAAATATGTATATCTTTTCATGTTTCGCCAATTAAATTTAATTCACTTATAAGCAATAAAATTTAAAAAAAGAATTGTGAAGAAAAAAAAATTAATTTGTTACAGTGATCGCAATTGTTTCTTAAGTTTAAAATAAAAATATCTCTCAATGAAAAGTGATGTAAAAATTTAAAAATAAAAATGTTGATTACGAATATTAGTTTTTCTAAAACTGCACCTTGGAGCGCACGGCAACGATCGAATTTAACAGCAATAACAACAGAAATATTTCCAACATTAGCAGCGACAAGATCAGCAAGATCAGCAAGAGCGGCAGCTGAAACGTCATTACTACATACTACATTCTGTTGTCCACAATGTCACAATTATAAAGATAATATGACCTTCCAATTAATTTACCAATCTATAAAGTGCAAAATGTCAAATTCATTTTTACGTGACCATGCGAAAATGTTTAATTGCTTAAGTAGATCGGCGCTACTGCTCTCTAGTTTCCATATGTGCATTTTACTAGTTTGCTGTGCTGTGATGTCCGGTGCAGTGTCAGTGAACGCCGCTGCCATAAATCACAAACAGCATCATAACGGTGCACGTCTCTTTTCTTGGAATAATCTTTCCGAAAATAATGAGGCTTTTAATTCTGATTCCAACGACAACGGATATGTTTTGAATGCTGATCCCAAGTTCAGTGCGGAATCGTCGATTGCAGCAACGGACTCAAAACCAAATACAGGTAAGTTGAACTTATTATTATACATATATTTATATACAGATAGTAAGCTAATTAATTAGTAATTCCTTATTTAATTTATCTATTCTGAAAATCAAAAAAAAAACTTTTCCAAGTTGCAAATATATAAATGTGGCTTATCTTTTATATACAGTGGCTTAGATAAGGGGTATTAAGATATAGATTGCTCTCCTTAACAATACGTATATGATCTACAAATAATACACTGCCAGAAAAAATATTACCCTCTGTATTCCCTCTGGCTACACCACTATTCATAACCAGAACGAAATCTAGTGAAACATTTTCTTTCGAACCATTGGCATAACTAATTTTTCCCTTAATGGATGACTACTGATTAGGCATTAACTGTAATAAAAATTGCACAATCTTTCTCCTAACTGTCAGCGAAAAAGAAAGCATAGACTTAGTTGGGAGATATAGGTGTATACTTCATATTCTTTAAATATAGTTTAAGCGTTGTTAATATATTTTATTTTTTGATTTGAGAAAGTTATATGAAATAGCGAATAATAAAAAGAATTTTATGTGAGAAATCTATTTTTAGGTATACGTATGTGATCTACAAATAACACACTGCCACAAACAATTTCACCTACTATATCCCCCCTGGACTTACACCACTATTCATATCCAGAATAAAAACTAGTGAATCATTTTAGTGAATAGTAAATAGTTTTTTTTATGAGCGAAACACATTTTTTTTCTCTCCTAAACTCAATAAACTCATCTAAATATTTATTAGATGTGAGTCGATCTTATACTCGCCCAGTAACCTTCTCCAACCAGGCTGAGCTAGTTTTCCAGTTCTTCGGTTTTCAGGTCTTCAGTGAGTTCCTGTCACCAAATAAGTCACCTCTTATCGTTATAAGTTGTTAAATATCTTCTGTCACACAACAAAACAACATAAGGGAATTATTAGATGTAAGAAACAGTGTCATATTTATTGCATTTCAATGTCAATCAAACAGAAAAATATCGAATATTTACCCAATTAATATATTGTGCTTTTTCTTATTTGAGAATAAATGTCGGAGGTAGATAGGTGGGTGAAGCAGAAATAAGTCGGATTTTACTTACTTAACTAGAATGCTATTTTGATTGCGTAAAACGAAATTTTAGGCAGATTTCCATGTTGGGGATGTTGTAAAGTGAGTTGCAGAATGAGATCTTCATTTACTTTAACCATAATCTGGAAAAGTCTAGACACAAAAAATGTTCTGGTGTCTTCTGTTCGAGCATTGGCGCACATGATCTGCAAGAATTTATATAGTATGGTTCCAACCTAACTACTCATTTATGTCGTCCTATAACTCAGTGTCTTTGAAAAATTATATTATTATTATAGATACTTCTAACTTGTTCTTATAGATTTGGAGTATGTATATTGCTCTTAAGTATTTAAGTGAGTGATGACTAGAGATTTCAACCTATTAAAGTTTTTATATGAAAAGAGCGTCTTTTAAACTACCGCTAACTATCTTGAACACTTCTAGTCATATTATAAAACTGTCTGTTGAGAGAACTTAAAACTTCGTTAGTCGGTACGTACCGTATGAACTTTAGCGAACTTAAGCCAAGGAGAAATGCATAACCAACCACACCTGTGTATTTCAGTTTGACATAAGTTCTTACGGTATGTACCGACTAACTGAGCCTTTAACATACTATATACGAAAATTTGAAACTAGGTACTAGCAATATTCCACAATTAAAAGAAATATTCGTTTATGAGAGATGTGCTTTGCTCATTTCAATCTAATGTACGTTAATTTACAACCGCTCTAGCGGTAGAGTGGCGGTACCAAGCGTTTAGTACTGCTACTATGTATCGGTTATCGGTAAGAGTACAGCAGGGTCTTTTTTAATTGGGTGGGTTTTTTTAAATATAACGGCACTCAGCTAATAATTGTCAACTAATATTATCTCTATATTAAGCGTTCTTCTGTATGTATATCTTTGCAGACAGTACTAATGTAATTATTTTATATATATATATATATTATATATAATATATTACAAAAAATGAGTTAATATTAATAATAATCTTTTTCAATTTTTGTTGTACAAAATATTTTAAATAAAAAAAATCTTTAATATTTAATATTTTTAATTAGTAACGCCGACATTTTGAAATTTTTTTCACCTCTTCCTCCGGGCGGGTTAGTTTAACAATTCTGCAACTAGAAAGAAGAAAAAGACGTCAAAAAACTTCGAAGTACTGGTGACACTAAATATAAATAAAAAATTTTTAAATTTTATACATTTTGTTTTATTTACTATTTGGTTCCCTAAATATAAATAAACTCGTGAACTAAAATAATATCTACAAAAAATTTTATATAATTATTAGTGGAAAATTATTTATTTGCTTAGCACTTTGATTTCTTTTCCTCAAGTAAATAAATATAATTTATCTCTTAGGTAAAAATTTGTACAAAATATTTACACAGTTTACAATGTAAACTGACATTTTGTTTGTGTTCTGATTGTCGTGATCGATGTTGTTGGATCATGAAGTGACCATGAACTTGTATCTGAAGTAAATTAAAATAATTTGAAAAAAATTATTTACATGTACTTTTAACTAACACATGAGGTTTCCTCAAAGTATTCGTGATATGTATCTTAAAAATTACACATTTTCTCAGAATAAAGTGTAGATATACGAGTAGCTCATCAAGGCATACAAGGTTTATGTACAATTGTCCAAAATTACAAATGACATCATTTTTTAGAAGTAAACATCATAAAGACAAAGCACAAGAAGTATTCTTGAACTAACTATCCCTGCACTTGTGCACGAAATATTCATTCACTGAAGTAATTTGATACCCAAAAATCATAAATAAAAAAGTATTAAATGCTAAGACATAAATAAAAATAAAATTAAAAATAATAACAGGAAAATGAAAAAGTAAAACAATATTTCAGACCCGAGCTGTTTTGTAAAAGTGATCATCCTCATTATATTTCAATCACATGCATTAATGGTGCGCCTGCGCATTGTGTGCATATTAAGACAATGCCGCGCCCGCCAGTTCATGAATGGCATGAACCTGTCCCTGTTCTATGCAATCAAAACGGGTCTTCCATTGGTTCGTTCTGATGACTACAAACGCAAAGTATATCCGTTCCATACTCTCATTGTGTAATTTTTTTTTTGTGTGAAGTTGATTATTATTTTTGTTATTGCTTTGATGGATTTGCGACAAAATTTTAAGTATACACTTCCTTTGAAAGAGGCTATGTACATGGTTCTTCATAGTAAGAGCACTTGAACCACTTGCAGCCACTTTTCCATATCGTATACGAGGCCAACGCGGTAAAGTGGAGTTTGTCAGCACATTATCCATTTTTTTTTAAATTAATGAAAGGGTAAAATAAAAAATATTTATCAAAATTCATTGCTTTCTTGTTAACTTATGTAAAAGTGTGGCCATATGCCAGAGACTTAAGATAACTCTGGCAGTTTACATATAAAACCATATTCCATAATCCGATTATTTATCTTCAATAAAAAATGAAAGCACAGTTTTATAAAGTGAAAAGAATTGCTGTAACAATTTTGAGAATTCAGGTTTTCTAAAAGTTCTATGATTCAAGAATTTTCACAAAATGTAAATACGGCTTTAATACTTTCACTAGATTTCATTTTATTTCATTGTAAATGTCTAACTGTTAAAGAAACTAAAAATTATATTTATTTGTAGTTGCGATTAAAAAAAATTGTGCAGAAATGATATTGTAGATGATATAAGATTTTACTCATAAAAATTAGGGCTATTTAGAACCATTATACCTAACCCGCTTCATTTTAATGAAGTCCAAGACCGTCTAGGTTTTAAATCCACATACCCTCCTTGACCTTGTGCGGCTGTGATTCAACTCATTTTTCATGGGAAGTCGCCTTCTTTGAATTAAACTGAATCAATAACTGAATCATTGTGGTTTTAAAAAGATTTGTCAGTGCAAATTTTAGATAAACCAGATTTTGAACCGAACCAAGGGTTCTGATCATAAAATCACTGATCTCAACAACTTTAGAAATGTATAAGAATCACAGTTTAGATTCTAGTAAATGAACTTTCTTGGCTCTAATTCTATTTTCACATAATATTTTGTAAGTTTTAAGTTCATATGTTTAAAACATCTATTTTTATTTATCTATTTATATCTTTTTATATTTAAGACAACTAAAATTACTAGATGGTTCGCTGAACGGGAATTAAAAAATGGACTTTAGTTGTAAAAACGTGTTTATATTGATTTGGAATTATTGTTATTTATTTAAAACAATTTTTTTTATTTTATTTTTGGACCGTCTTAATTACTAGATGGTTAATAGTTCACTAAATGAAAATGAAAAAATTTATATCAGTAGTAAAAATGTCTTTATTTTGTTTTTGATCCTGATTTTATTATTCACTTTTTTAAACAATTTTATTTATAAAAAACAATTTAGAAATATAAATAATATATTACAATTGCAACAAAATAATTTTATTATATAAAATTAACAATGACTTGGCATTAAACTTTCAGTTCGCTTTATTGTTAGGTATAATCTACTTCAACTTCAATAAGTTATTGAAACGATACTCTCATTGATGGACGATTCCATCTCTGTACTGAAATCCAATCTCTATTGTCTCAACATTTAGTGAAAATGGTTTTTCATCAAAGAATTTTTTGAGTTGTGATAAGACTTAGAAAAAAGAGAGAGCTATAAGTATGGGGAGTAGACTAATTGTTGTGTGTGCAACAGTTGTAATTTAATTGAGGTGTATTGTATGTATTATATTAGGGATATTCATTCTGTATTGTAAAGTCATTACAAGGTCCACAGATTGTGCGAGATTGCAATATACAACACCAAAATACACGTACAGTTTCTTGCAATTGCTTGCAATCTTGCTATACCTAAACGCATGTATATATGCTTGCAACGAAACAAAAAAGGAAAAAAACAGCTGGTTTGA